AAAAAAAAAAAGCTGATGAAGGATCGTATGTTATCACGACTCTCCCTTACTGAATCACACACACATAACAAACAATCACAGATGGTAATGATTAAGCAGAGTTAAACTCGTAAAAGAAGAGATCATCAAAGCGGTCATTGGTCACAGCTTTGCCACCATGCATCAGCAGCCCTTTCTTACCATTAACTGTCCCACTCGTGGAAGCTGTCCATCCCCTGATAGCTGGAGTCATCTCCTGCTTCGCTTCTTCCTTTTTCTTCTTGTGGCTTCCAAAAGGGTTTCCGNTGTGTTTCCCAACAACTGCACTAGCGAAAACGCTCCTCCCGGAAGGCTTCTCACCGAATGTTTCCACTTCTGTCCACTTGTCCTCAACAGGATCATAGTAATAAACATCATCAATTTCATAGTTGTTGAAACCATAAACCACCCAAACCTTCCCATTCACCACTTCGAGCCCGGATCCTCCTCTTATGCTAAAGGATTCACCAGGGGTCGCACAATGCTTCCACTTCTGATCAGCGATGTTGTAAGCGTCCAGGGTCTTGATCCGGCTCGTAGCACTCACTCCACCGAAAACATAAATGTTTTTCTCATCGGCAGCCATAGAGTGGAAGCTACGAGGAGTGGGTCCTTCTTCAACCGGAGTTAGTAGTTTCCACACGTTTTTGGTCGTGTCATAAGAGTAGAAACCGTTGTATTTGCGGGCCGCGTCTCGGCCACCGAAGACATAGAGGGTTGTTCCAACTGACACCATTCGGACGCCTAAGCAAGCGAGGTGTGGAATGTCTCCCTTGGCTGGAGCAATGGACCATTTCCCACTCTTGAGGTCAAAGACGTAAAGGTCTTTGTCAATAGGCACATTTGGTGTAAATTCGCCACCAAAGGAGTAAATCTTGTTTCCTACTTGTGCTATGGCATGTGAGCATCTTAGCCCTGGGACCTTTCCTTTTTGCTCCACCTTATAAAATATACCATATATATTTGTTATCAGTTTTTAAAAAGAGATTTACGAATCTGATCATATCAAGGTTTACACGTTCTTTTAATTAATGCAAGTTTAATCCCTTATATATTAAAAGAGAAGCATTTTGCATTAAATGCGTTCACATTGAATTGAGCGAAAATTCTGACGTGTCACTTCCATAATGCTTCTCACAAAAAATATTGCCAAATTCATAAACCAGATTTCCTAACTTTCCATATTACGTGTCTTGACATATAAAGAGACCAACTACATATTACGTGAACCTGTTGTGTCTCTCTCTCAATTTCAAAACCTTAGCAATTATCAGTTTCAACAAATCTCGAAGATATAAATATGAACTTGCTGTGTCTCTCTCTCAAACAACAATAATGAAAACCTCAATGAGCACCATCGTCTTCTTCCTAAGAGCTCTCTCCATTGGAAAGAGTCGTTCAGTGACTTCGCGACACAAAGACGAGGAACTCGAGATGAAAAGCCTCGACTTAAGCGGTATAGGAAGCTCGGTGATTGGAGTAGAGAGAACTCTGAAAGGACTACTCGATGAATTAACAGTCAGCGAGGGTGTACAAGCTCGTATGGATGGAATCATGTTTCAGCAACCTGACTGAGATTCTTTCGCAGCTCCTATCATTGATCTTCTTAAAGACTCAAAACGGTGTTGAAACCCGGCCAGGTGACATCTCCAGTCCAATGGGAGACGACAGTAAAGACTCTCTTATCCAAAGGACTTAAGAACATCTATGAATTGGGACCTGGAAAGGTATATAAAGTACTTTTCTTGGCTTCACAATCTAAGTTATATATTTTTTGAAGTTCCTTCGTCGTCTAAGTTGTGTGTGTGTTTTTCAAACAACAGGTGATTGCAGGGATATTCAAGAGAGTATATAAAAACGCCAGTGTTGAAAACATCAGTGCTTGAGACTCACTCTAATGTTTTACAAGTTTGGAGTTTAAAGTTTTGTATCGAATATTCATGTAACACTTCGCACACGAATATGTTGAGATATCTTTATCTATTTAGAAACTAAAGCTCAGTGGCATAGCAATCTCTTTAGCGATTGTTGGGCTCCTTCCTTCTCCTTCAGACAAACCCACAACACCTAATCTCAACCTTGAAGACGAGTTATGCAAAGACGAGACACGGTCAAAGAGAGTTGTCCGTAAGATTGAAGTTATATACTACTACTTATTTGCATATTCACGTCCATGATTGTACGTGGTCCCTAACAATATTCATATTTACGAAAAAGCATGGTCACTAACGATCTTCGTCTTCACAAAGAAACCTATTTGACTTACCTTTACTGGAAATATATATAATGCAAGTTTCTTGTACAAAGCATGAACTTCTGAATATGTATTTGATGTAGTTTGTTTAAACCGAGAACTCCTTATTTTTATATTTTGTTAAACCATTTGGTTTCGACTACTCTGATATTGAACCGACTACTCGGATAGAACCGTTGGTTTCGACTACTCTTCTTTGAATTGAAACGGTTAATGTTTTCTTGGCCGGTTCGCAGTATTTGAGTGTTTGGCAAGGTTTATTAATGATGATAGGATATTTTAATTTATTTAAAAAGTTTGGTTTATGGCAATATTGACATTCTTGTGGTCGAAGTAAATTATTGAGCAAGGCAAATATATTTACATTTAATTATCTTGTGGTCGAAGTCCATTAGGTTTATTATCCCCTATATAATAAATGTTTGTTCTCATCATTAGGACTCATAACCTAAACGAAAACCCAGTTATTCTTCACTCATCTTTCTCTAATGGCTGCGATTACTTCTGTGTCAGATTTGAAACCATTCAAGTCTATGTGGAAGATTAGGGTGAAGATCATTCGTTTGTGGAAGCAGTATTCTGCAGCCGGTGGAGAAACAATTGAGATGGTTCTAATCGATGAGAACGTAAGTATCCTTTACTCTTCACGTTAGTAATATTTAGTATGTTTAAAGAACCTATCTAATTTTTGACTATATTTGTTGCTTTTTGTAGGGTGTTAAGATTAATGCTACTGTGAAAAAAGATCTGGTTAATCAGTTCGATTCATTCCTTTCACAAGGAAGTTCAAAGATTCTCATCAATTTTTCACTAAACCCTTCTTGTGGATCGTACCGAACAACCATACATCCATACAGAATTGGTTTTCTGTCGACAACACGTGTGAGGAATTGTGATGATTTGCGCAATGCTCTAACTGGTTTTGAACCAGTTAGCTACAGGGACATTCTTGATGGTACACTAAGTACGGACTATTTGGTTGGTAAGTTACATAATTCCGGTGCTTTCATTTAATATACGAATTTATAGTCAATGATATAACTCATATATTTTATCTCAGATGTCATAGGTCATATTGTTGAGGTGACTCCTTTTGAAGTTGTATCAGCTAATGGTAAAGAAACTCATAAACTGACGGTGGAGCTTCGTAATGAAAAGTATGGCTCTCTTTATATTGTATGAGTATTCATGATAGCAGACGTGATGACAATGATCTAAGATATACATGTTTGTAAATGATTTTAGGGATGAACGTCTGCCTCTGGTGTTGTGATGAGAATTCTTATGTATATCTATGTGGAGCATTGGTCCATGTAGGAGATCTTATAGTTAATAAGACATATAAACCTGCCAACGTTTACAGTACTATTCTATATACGTTAGAGTTCTCCTTAATCGATCTCGGGTTTGAACTTTTCATATATTTACAATTGTTTATTCTTAGTACGACCATGTTTGTACAATTTATATTGACTGGTATATAATACAAACGTAACAGGTACACTCAAGTGAGGTGTGTTGCTCATGGAGATCTATCCCGTATTTTAAATGATTTCTGGCATTCTAATACTGCAGATGTTGTAGTATGTGTTTTAAGGTTATGGCGAATTGAATGGGGAGCAGGTAATCTATATTTATTTTGACTCTTTGCTATTCAGTAATGTTTGGTTTCTATACTTATTGTTGATATTACTTTATAGGTGGTCTCACTTATGTTACAAACATGGAAGGTGTTTCTGAAATTCTGTTTGATACTGACATCCCAGAGATTCAGTTCTTCAAATCACAGTAAGTACATTATACTTAGTTGGTTCTATAAAGTTGTGTAGTATATACACTAAAAACTTTGTTCTTCCTCATATATTGAAATTCATGTCTTTGCAGGATTCCAATCATCGATTTTTGAAGTTTTGAAGGTTATACTATCTAATTATTGATTCAAGTTGTTTTTATACAATACCTATTTATATTTAGACCATTATTTGTTTTTGGAAGAATGAGATTATGCATCTTTATTATAATGGAATTGAGTTTATTTTATTTGTATTAGATTTCTCATCTTCCTTAACCTAGAGACTTACCATAGTGAGGAGGAGTTTTAGCAGTATTTGAGTGGTTTTTTAAAAAAAAATACTTATATAAAACTAAGAGGGACTAGAAGTATAAAATATTTTGATTGAATTATAATTTCACATTCATTCTAAATAAATTACATATTTTTAAAAAGTATTTACTATTGCATTATATAAATGGATGCCGAAATTAAGAAAAATTCTATAAAATAATAGTTTAAAAATTAGATAATGCAGGTATTACGAAATTAAATAGCAGAGAGGAATAAATAAGTGTATTTTATTTGGTTAGAAATATTTAATGAAATATTGTTTAATGAATTATTTATTTATATTTTACAATAAATTTGATTTGATATAAGATGACAGTAAATAATTAATTTTAGTCATTGTATTATCACCATAAAATAAAAATCACAATTTAACCAAAAAAACAATATTTAAAATATAGATATATAATTGGATGATATTAAAACCCGAAACAACCAATCCAAAACAAACTAATATGCAAATAAAACAGATATAATATCTTTTTATCTTCAAAAATATAATAAATTTAGTCATCTCATCCCGCGCAAGGCGCGGGTCTAATCCTAGTAAAGTTATATAATATGACCACTATTACGTTGATTTTTCAGATTTAGTCAAGCTTCTCGTCACATAGTCTATTTTAATGTCGATCTAAAAGATTTTTACCTTTGTCCACTTTCCATGCAATTGATGAGTGGATATTGGGTCAGAAATATAGGCTCCAAGGGAGTGTAGAACATTGGTGGAACGCCCGTGAAACCCAACGATTTTGCCACCTTGGAGAACAAACTTCACCCCCGGACCCTCCTTGAAGTGCTTATTGGTTTTGCCTTTGGAAGTCTCGAACTTAAGAGCCACGATGGTTTCTTGAGTTGCTGTCTCACGGAAAGCTTCTACGTAAACGATGTAGTCATTTTCATCAACCTCAAACTACATATAAAAAAAAAACAATTCTCAGTACAAAACCAATATTGAACAAAAATTTGATATTTTCAACCTAATATAGTTATATAGTATATGTTATTAGTACCTCCTCAACTTTTTGTGTGTGTTCTCCATGTTCATCTCCAATAACCACTTCAGAATCATCAACATACTCAAACTTGACGAAGGATATACAACTCTGGCCTTGCCCTACATATACTTTTCTAACATTTTCGTGAACACCATCATCCCATACATTTCCTTTCTTACCACCCTTTGCTTCCAACTTTAGGGCCATCTCTTTTGCTTGCGCTTGATCTATCTTACGAATATTACAACCTGTAATTACGAATATAACTAAATAATATACTACCAAAACAATAAAGTGGGATAGAGGGAGAGAGATTGAGAGACCTTACCTCAGAATAGTGTTATTAAATTGGTGCTGTGATCTATAATAGGAAATTACATGGTTATTTATAGAAACATGGGAAGTTCACATCGACGAAATTCTTCATATATTTTATATCTCGCGATACACAAGACATTAAATAATGAATGAATACACGTTACTAGACGTGAAGAACCGAAAATAGTTGCTCGGAATATAATTTCACTACACCCGATACACATGGATAATGCGTCAATAATGAAACTAAAAGACAAGCCAACTCATAGCTTCTTAACTAATTATTAATTCAAGGAGCGTTGCCAGGAGTATGAACAGAGCCAATCTCGTGGCAAATCCTCCATTAATGAAATACAACAAAACCCTTAATTTAATAATCACTCCAATTCAATTTTTTTGAGAAACATACTCCATTTCCAATTAAATGTCATTCTAAGTTTATTCACGTCAACTGAGAAAAGGATAAATATTCAGTTTTATCCTTTTTAACTATTAAAATTACATTTTTTCATTTTCTTTTGATAAATGTAGGAGTAAAATAAATAAGTTAAAGAGCTAAATCACCTTGAAATCTTAAAACGATATTTTTTTCTTGTGATTTCTACAACGATACTTAAAATAAAATAAAATGGAAGAAGTATTTGATAACTAGATAAATATGATAGATTATATTTCATCGATTATATCTAGGTTGCATGGACTCGGAAACGGATACGTGGAAACGAAACGTTTCGAAACGTGGAAATATGATTTCCAAAAAAATAAAAATGGAAACGTTTTAGAAACATCTATAATATATATATATATATATATATATATATATATATGTATGATTAATCAACATGTAAACTTTTTTTTGTTTAATTTATCTAAGAGAAAAAATTAAGTAATATAAGTATTTTTGTACATTTTATTAAAATTATAATCAATAACTAAAAAAGTAACACATGTTATCATTCGATAAAACTATGGAGCGACTTCATTCCAAATCCAATCATTATACTAAAATGATAACAAATATCAAATGATAATATTAAAATATAAAATAATAAACAAGTAATCATTAACATCAAAATGTCAAATAGTAATTGTTGTGTTTCTAATTAGAATCGCGAGTTTCCAAATCAGAAACACAAGTTTCCATCGTGTTTCCAAAATTAAATTTTCAAGAAACATGTTTCCAAGAGTTTTCTCGAGTTTCCAAGAGATTCCGATTCCGAAACGTTTTCGAAACAGGAAACAGACCTTGAATGGAGTTTCCATGCAACCTAGGATTATATGTTAAATGTGTCATATTTTCTTAATTGCTAGGATATATTTATAGTTTTGCAGTGTGTTTTTTTATTAATTTAGGGATATCCGAGCCTATGGAGAAGACAAACTAATCTCTAAAGAGAAGGAAAATTTATAGATAGATCATTTCTTCGAGTATACAAAAGAGCCTGGACCCATATTCATATAGGTATCCAGAACAATGTGACTTAGTTTCGCATATCAATATAGTTTTGCAGTGTTGGTAAGAATAAAAATATATTTCATTTGTAATCTTTTATTCATATGTTCATGAAATGTACGCATTATATTCCCTTAAACTTTTTCTTAAAATATTATCTCTAAAACTTAAAAATCTACAGTGTAATAGGGAAGAAATATTATAAATTGTCAAAATATCCAAATAATTTATAATTCAGATTGATAAATTTTGTCATTTTACATTTACAGGCTTGTAGTTTTAAAAAAAAAATATAATGGTCTAGTTTTCAAATTGAAACCTCAATATAAGTGTCTTTTCCAAAATTTCTCTTAACAAAATACAATAATTTATGATTTCATAATAAATAAGCATGATATAATCCCTACTTGCCAAACTTATGCTTCATAGATCGAGAATGGCAAGGTAAGTGGTTTAGGGTGGAGTCCTAAAGATGAAACGGGTTCTGAATTTTTTGGACTACGAGCATGCAACAAGATCCTCTCAGCCTTACATGCTGAGATGGAAGGTTTACTTTGGGCTACTTCCTGTTTAAGGAACATACGGAATAACTTCGGTATGATTTACGACGGACTGCTCGGATCTTCTGGACATGACTACGAACCCGATGAATTGGCCAGCTTGGACATCGGAGATAGAGTTATTCTAGAGACTTCAGGAAGACTTTGAGTATGTGATCCTGATTCATATTCCTAGAAGTATGAATGGTCGAGCAGACGCACTGGCGAAAGAAACAGGAACTAAAGGCTACATTTTCTCCCATATAGATCAGACACGTGTAGATGAAGATGCTCCTCGGAGTACCGAATATTCTGGACAACACTTGATTTAAATTTAAATGGGCAGCGGAAAAGAAAAAGCATGATAAAATTATATTTTTTTATGCTAAATGGAATCTTTTCTCTATTTTTTTCTCTTTTTTTTTAATATTTATAACTCTGCAGTTTTCGGACATGAAAAGAAAAACAATAATTCATAGATTCTATATTTCCCTATATAATCATTTTATTCATATATTGATGAAATATACTCATTATATCCTATTAAAATTATTTTAATTTTATTTGCCGTGATATAAGAAACTTTTTATATAATAGTTGAGAAACGTTGATATAATTTATGTTACATTTTAACATGTGTTTTTAAAACTATTGTTTGTAAATATGAGATATTATATTAAATTTTGACATATAAAATCAAAGACACATAGATGATAGATCACATTATTAATATTTCACTAAGTTCAGTTATTCGAATATATAATTAAAATCACGATTTTTATTTTTGAAAATAGCAGAATATAATAGCAGAATATATTATATTCTCTATACACAACGAGTGGATTGGCTCAACTCAAATTCAACTATTTTTAGAAATCAACAACATCTCAGTAATTTTAAAATAATTTAGTTATCTGTATATCCAAAAAAATAAATCTGAATTTGAATATTTTTTAAAATAAAAAAATATAGTTTAGTAATGTCTGCTTATATCTCTGATGTATTATCATTAAGATTCAAATCAAAATAATATATGGTTTGAAAAATAAAATAAAAAAATCCTTTTATTATGTTTATAATGTATATGTTTATATATATATATATATAGAATAAGATCTTTAAATCTAAACAATAGTAAATATACAAATTTAAGTTTTAGTTATTTAAATCCATACTAGATCTTGATCAGTACCACCGTGCGGGTTTCCTTTTTATACTATAATATTATAATTTATATAATAAAATTTATCACTAACTTAATATAAACTGGTGCTTATCATCTAGATTTATAATAAACTTTTGCATGCCTTATAATATTATTACTATAAATTTTGTATCTTTGCAACAAAATTTATTTAGAAAACATTATTATATAACAATACTGTTTCACATAACTTTTTGTTTTTTTTGTCAACACGTAACTTTTTTTAATTTGAAATATATAAAATTCATTTTTGTAATTTATAAAAATATATAGTATTTTTATGGAAAATATTTCAAAAAAACTATTTTGTATCTAAAATATTCTTTTAAATGTTATTAAATTATATTTTGAAAAAAAATTTGTAACATAAGAGATTGTAGTTTTGAATTTTAGAATTATTATTTTTAGTCTAAAGATCAACCCACAAAAAACTTTATCTATCAAATATATACTACAAACACTTATTTTATTATTTTGTAAATTCAATGTTAGAGTTTGATACTTAAGTGTCCAGTGTAGTATGGTTATACCATAGATTTTCATCTAGTGATTAAATAGAGTTAGAGTTAGAATGAAATATTAAATATATATTACAAACACTTATTTTTATTATTTTGTAAATTTAATGTTAGAGTTTGATACTTAAGTGTCCCCGTGTAGTATGGTTATAACATATATTTTCATCTAGTGATTAAATATAGTTAGTGTTAAAATGAAATATAGACTAACATGTGAAATGAAAGTATGAAACATAGGAAAATTATACTACTTGTAACTTATGTTTTATATGAATGATTAGTATAAGATTTGGATGTCTTAGTTTAAGATAACATTAAACTTTTCACGTTGTGTTAAAATTTTAATTATAGTAAGCATAACATTACGTTTTAGTATGATGAGTTTTATAGGTAAAAGTTGTTATCATGGTTGAGAATATATTAGGTGATTTATTAATGATGTTAAATCGTTATTAAGAAATAAATGAAACATAATTTTTTAAGGATAGTTCAATTTTAAAAATATCAAACATGAGGAGAAGTTATGATTTCTTTTTAATAGAATAGATTTGTTTGAACAACCAATATTTAAGAAAAAAAAAAGCTTAAAGCCTTTGGGGCTGAATATAAATATAGCATGACAAGCTAGATTTCACGGCTCAATCAGCGATAAAGTTTTGTTGACAATGAAGAAAAGAGAAGCCAGTAGCAAAGAAACAAGATGATAGAAGTCTATGACTATGAGAATTTCATAAAGCTCCATAGACCGAGTTTTTGTATTGATAGTTCGAAGAATACATGAGAGTCTAAGTTTTGCTCCAAAAAAAACATGAGAGTCTAAGTGACTTCTAAATCATATCTTAGATGGTGTTCCAAATGTATAATCTGGCAAACTCCAAGAGGTACCTATTCAACAGTTAGAAGAGATTCTACCCCTTCCCCAGTCAGGAGGGAACAACCTGCCTTCGAGCTCAAGGAACCCTGCTACATCGAAAGAGAAACAATATGACCCAGCTCGAGAAAGATCACCTATACGATCACTCAGTGAAGACAGGCTCCATGTTTCACTAAGACTAGGCCCTTTGTTCCCTGATGAGGAGGAGACAGATGATTTACCTCAACATGGTGATAAGCTATACGCTAGAACCTCAAGCTCGTCTGAACAGAAACTACCACTGTCTAACAAGAGAGTTATG